AGTGTGCGGCAGCAGCGGCACTGCCAGGCTCCCTGCGAGAGCTGGCTCACTGCTTTGAAGCACAGCCCGCATTGAAGTACACGCATCTCTGCCACTGTGACATGGCAATTTTACCCAAAAACATGTTTATGGCAGTAACGTGAGATTGATGAATTTTGTCACCCACCATCATGCAATTAAAGCAATTTCTGCAGGCTGGCAACATTCCTTTCTTCTGATTTTTACAATGGTTTTGGCTGTCAACAGTTGGCAGTGGCAAATTGTAGCTCCATTATTTTTGTTGCCATGGTGAGTGCACAAAATAAAATAATAAACCTTTTTTCTTAATGACATTTATGCATGTTACACCCCGAAAAATCAGGCAGATGGCCTTCTATGTAGGCCTACGTAGGACTTCAAGAGTAGCCTATGTTCTTCAGGATGAAAACTATCACAAGATTAAAACATATTTTTATTTATTCCATTTTCCTAGCAGGAGTGCATTACAAGGCATCCAGCGAGAACAATGAGCTTTGAAGTGGTTCTGACTTCATTTCAACAAGAAAACTTTATGCAGTAACAAGAAAATCTTAGGAAGAAAAACGTGAACTGACACATCTGGATCTCATCCAAGAATATTTTCATATTTTATAAGGCAGTGAAATCCCTTGAATGCATGCTCAAATTTAACAGAAACAGAACTCTAAGAAAAATTGTATCATGAAAATACCAGAAGCAAACCTCTGAAAAGAGGCCATGAACACTAAACTACTGGGTTGTGAGTGGAGTCCCTGCAGCAAATAGTCTGACTTCTTCAGGCTGCCAGTGTGGTCAGTCCTTTAGAAAGGCAGAGATTTTGGCAGGAAAGCTGAACAGGAAGTTTTTGTTTTTCCCTTCAGAGAAAATCACATTTTAGAATATTGTTTTTTCCCACATACCTACTCAGGTCTGTTATTCACACACCCTGCCTCCTGAAAAAGTCATAGGTAAAGTCCCTCTCACACACTAAAATATATTTCACACAGCAACAGGCAGTTCTCAGGCTTTTAATAGTGTACTTTAAAAGCACTTTGAGCCTTTATCTTCCTGCTTTCATAATTCAGTTACACAGCAACTATGAAGCAGAGTATCATTCTGCAAAAGGTTTGTAAATCAGTTAATTAAATTTCTGTAGCATGCCAGTGCATAATTCACCCCGCATGCACTGTATCAGTATCTGTGCTAAAACAAGATTCTAATATTACGAAACTTTCAATTCACATACAGAGTGACAAACCTACATGTTACTTCAGAAGGTAATTACTTCTGCTTCGTGTTGGATCATGCTTCCATAGATCAGCTTTAGATCAAGGGTGTTGTTTGACATGTGACTATTCCGTGTTGTGCCAATAAGACTGGATGCACGTGGACACAAAAAACTACAAAAGTACAGCTTGAATTTTCCATGTCATTTGCTTCTGGAAATACGTCCAAGAGGCAAACTGACCTAGGCTTCAGGGACCAAGCAAAAGGCACCTGCTTTTTGGGGGCCACATGGGTGTAGGTATTCATGTGGTGGTGTCTTGTGTTCAACCCTATACGAACTCTCAGGACATAAAAGCACCTCTCAGGAAATAAAGTCTATCTGCAGCCATCCTGGACAGCATTTTAGATTATCTTAAATAAGACCAGGGTGTAGCAGTCACTGAATAAACCAAAGGATCTTTTGAAATCAGTTTCACCCACAAGAACAGTTCACAGAGAAACATCCAGAACAGATTGGTGCAAACCCCTCCATCTGGGCAAGAGCAGGAAACAAAGAATTACTAAGTCTTCTTTGCTGAAATACAGATGCTCATGCATATCTCTTTTGGCAGTAGCCTAATAAACACACTGCCTCACAGAAAAGCCTCTCATCATCACAGTGCAACAGGCAACCAAGGTTTTGCAAAGGCCAGATAAGGTTATCAGGCGTCTTATGTGCTTCTGGCTCATAAGTCAGTCGGAAAATCCCACCAAGCTGTTTGCATATGGGTAGTGAAACTCGCATAAATACATTTTAAAAACATTACATGCAAAGTTTTTCCTGGAGGTGGCTAATCTATTAAACTTACAATAGCCTGCTGAACGCCAGTCGATTTAGCTGCTCCTCAGAATGAAGTGTTCAAGCACTAAGGAAGAGAACAGGGAAATCTCTAACAAGTTTGGGCTTTGAAACCTGCGCGAAAAATTCCGTAACCTCTTTGCTAAAAAATCTGGGTTAGATTAACAAAACAATCTAATCAAAACTGTTCAAGCTGATCTGGGTCATTCTGACAGAGCTTGGTTAGGAAACAAATCCACATGCAATTCTGGCAGGAACTTCAGCTGAACCTTCTGGTGGTAATGCGGAGCCATGCACAATACACATTTCATCCAGCAGAGGTACAACCAAACCTTGACCATAGCCTGAAACTTAATCTCATTACAATGAACAGTATTTCTGTGTAACCTTCTTCAGCTAAAATACAAATGTTTTACTATCACACTCTCTGTTCCTATGCCACATGTCTGTACTTCATGTTTGCATATACTCTCGGTCTCAATACAAAACATCCGCCTAGGTAAGATCACAACTTGAATTTCCTGTTTCCCATGTAGTATTTCCATTTTGTTCTCTGTGAACTTCTTTTGAAGAGGTGGTGCTCATCTTTGGGAATACAGGCTGTTTCCATTTTGATATTTACAATTGTTACTCATTTCTTTTGTTAGCTTCCATCCTGACAACTTGAGATATCAGGATGGATATATGCATGTAACAGAACACCCAAAACATAATCATTGGATCTCTTAGGTGAATGATAGTAAGTGATGACTTACATGTAAAAGTAAGTATTTTGTGCAAATAAATATTACAGAAAGATACTGAGGCCAGTAAAATACTTTCACGTCCACAGCATCAGTTCTGTAAGTTCCATTTCCTGAAACACATGGGCTTTTGCACCTTCAATGGAAGCACAAGGGACTTCCTGTAACAAAATCTTCATCAGCAGCTGTAATCAATTCACCATCAAGCTTTCATCCCAGAATCCTATTACAGTTCTGTCACTCTTTTTGCTGATACTGGCTTAGACCATGAGGCACAACATGAAAGATCATGAAGATGCAGCTCAGGTTTTGCCCGAGTATTTTGTTAAGGTAAAGCTTGTCAAAGCCTGCAGCAAGGTAGGTAGTTTTCTCCAGCCAGGATAAATAAATGTCAGTACTGCCTACTTTTAACAATGCACTTAAATACATTTGCCATAAACCCTTTTTCCCCCCACATCCATTTTGTTCACATCCTCCTTCAGCTTAATTTTGCCAGGTATTTTTGTTTACTACTATTAATTAAGGTTCTATGTGGGCAATAAGCAGTTGGCAGTGGGAGAGATTAATTAGTAGTGTGAAATAGGGCACTAACAATGTTGAGAACTTTCAAAGTCACTGTTTGCTATGCTGGGCTACCACCGGAGCATTTTTAGGTTGGAGGTTTTGTATTTATCCTGCAAGCATATTTAAAATTCAGACTTTTCGGAGGTAAGGAAGGCTATTTAGAGAGGTAAAAGTGGGAGAGGTAGGGTTAATTGCATTTAAAGCCCCAACTCTTTAGAATGTAATCCATTTCATTGTTGATTTAAAATAAAAATAAATAGGACCCAAGAGCATTCACAGAAAACAGAAAATCTAATCCCCTGAAGTATGACTTTGCAAGTACAGTTTGTTGTTATTGTTAATGTCTGCTTTTTTTTTTTTTTTTTTTTTTTAATGGTATGGACAATCTACAGGGGCTTTAGGTAAAATTTATAAAGCACCAGAGAATAAATAGCAAGGCTAGTGAAATCCTTATTAAATTACAGCCTCTTTTCCTCGTGTACTATGAGAGGTTATAGGCCTAAAAGGATTTATAGAAAATGAATGAAGAGCACCTCAATTAAGAAGAAAGGGGACAGGTGAAAAATCAAAGCAGACATCTGAAAGGCTACAAAGCCTGATGAACAGTGCCCAAATGGTAGGTACTAGGGGTAAGTGCCTGTTCTCTCCCCGAGAGAATCCTGAATTGGAATCATTAGGCCTATATGGAAACTAGTTATGTTTTTCTTGAATCAGGGGAAGCCCTAGGTAAGCATATTAAAGATGAGTCAGAAGAGTGGCTCCTTGTTGAACCGATTTCTAAATGAGTGAGATGCCAAAGAAAACAGTAGTCAAATGCCATGGGCTGAACTTTGGATGCAACAATGTGATTGCTGTACCTGGGAGTAACTGGGGAGAGTTTTCTTTCCTCTTGGAATAAACACAATACTTAGGCTTGCTCCAATTGTATTTTTTCCTAACTTAATTATTGCTATTAACCTGCAAGCTATTCAGTTTATTAAGAGTTACAAAACATGATGCACCTAAGGAACTGGGGTGCACTGCTTCTCCAAGAGCAGTAATAGTTTATTTCTATGAACAGCTACCTTCCCTGATGGGGAAGTTACTCCTCAAAACACAGAATTATTGGAAGCTTTTAGAAACTGTCTCCACATCTGTCAAAAGAATTCATAACCATGAAGGTTTTATAATTACAAAAGTGGGTAAAAGCAAAGTTCCTAAATAAGGTAGAACAAGGTGTGGGGATAAAGAAAGGAGGAAGAGAATGACAACCAGAGTCTAGGACTTCATTTAAAAAATGATTTTATATAAACCTGAATATAAAAATAGCCCACCCTACAGTTATCTGAAACAAATCCTCATGGGTTTCTTCAATCAATTCCCTGACAGTTTGGCAAGTGCTTGCTTTCTCTGTTCTGCTGTCATATACTCACAGGCTTCCAAAATGTTTACTATAATTAAAGTCTGTTGAACTGTTTTTGCTTTTACCCATATTCTTCCATTCATTCCCAGCACCAGCTCAAAAGGGTACAATTGTGACAACTCCTCAATTATTTCACATTTGGGAGCCAAAAGTCTGTAATCAAGATTAAAAAAAAGTCAGAGAAGAAATAAGGGTCCATATTTGATAAACACTACAGTATTAACAGTCAATAACCAAACCATACTAGTGCTATATGGAAGCTTTTAAAGCAGTTCCAAAAGCTAAATGATCAATTTGTATATGCACCCAAAACAGTGATTTTTTAATTCCCCCGCCCCCATACGAAACATCTGTGTACGTACATAAGCATATTTTTCTGATAACTTAGATTCAGAAGTAATACCAGATAGATTCAGAAGTAATACCTTATAGATTCACAGATAATTGTTCTAGAACTTAATAAATTCTAAAATCACACTGTTTGTCAAAGTGACATTTTTAGTGTTGCTATTTATGAATTTGACCCCTGAGCAAAAGATGCATCTTTCAAAACAAGGCTTTTCTGCTGCTGCTTTACAATAACACAGCAGTAAGTGTAAAGTATTTTGTGTAGCAGCATACTGAAAAAGACAAGCATCAAGCCTATTGTAAAACCTCTAACTTTATACAACTACCATTTGTGGGACAAATAATAATAGCCAGACAAAAAAAAAAATTAAAATATTAAGACCAATTTCCTGTTTCATTTTTATGTTCTTCTTCCTAAATATTTTTGGTTATCATTCATCCATATCATCCAGTGCTCTCTGATACTCAGAAAGGTCTTGTGTTTATGTTAACAAAATGTAACCTGAACTTTGGGGTCACTTCAGAATTTTCTGGAATGGTTTCTAGATTAAAATGCTATTTTTTGAAGTATGATTTTAATTTATCTGCATATCATTTAATGTATTTTTTGGTTACAGAATCTTTTAAGAAAGAAGAAAATCATTTATATTGATGAGAAAAAGATATGTTTAATTAGCTTCAGCCAAACTGATATCACCTATCTAGGCAGACCCTCATCCAACTAAACAGGAGGAAAAAAAATGCATTATGTGATTTTTAAATTCCCAGCTAGGAGACATATATCTGAAACCATTGTTTGATTTTGATTTCCTCAGGTCAACAGCCATTTATTGGATTATATATATTTTAATATATTCGATAAACTGATATAAACACACTAAAATAATTATGCATATTGATTACTGAATAATTTACACCACTCAGAGGAATAAGTGGATATCCTACCTAGAACGTTGCATGTTAAGAGTGACTACTGATTTTCCTCAATACTTACTTTCTTATTAAACCTAAGGAGACTTTAAAGAGGAAGCCATCTTGTCCAATTACTCCCATGCCACTTGCTCTTCCACTGCTGTCTATACAGACCAGCTCTGGTTCCATGTCTTTATTTGCTACAAGAAACTGACCATAAATAAGATCTCCCACCTGAAACAAGGAGTGTCCAGAAGTGAAAAGGATTAGAGAATACTCCATATCTACAAGAAATACTCTTTGATAAAGATGTTCCCAACAGAACACCAAATAGTTCTAGAATAGTGTTGGTAGAAAAATGAATTTGTGTAATAGTATTTTTTTTTCCATTAAAGACAACATTCCCTAGGAACACTTTCCCTGTACCACTGCTAAAATCTGAAATGAAATTACTTTCAAAAAATAAAAAATAAGTACAGAATTTTCTTTTCTGAAATTCTCCTTCTTTACCTCTCTCTAAAATACCAAATGTGAATTCCTTCCTGCCTTCAGACTTTAAGAATGTTAAAAGTTGAGGCTAAATAACACACTCATGTATCAAGATTATCAAAAAAAAAAGCATACTAGCGCATTTAATTTTTCTTTACAGTCTGTTTTACAACCTACTACTGGTATTTCACTACACAACTGCTCTCATACCAGCATTTAAAAAACATAGGAAACAAAACCCCCAAAACACAGTGTTCTACCACTGTTAAAAACTTGTTTTAGAACCTCAACTTGTGCTCTCCTGGATGCACACTACTGCATAAACTTAATCTGCTGCTGAGTCCAGATGAAACTGTTACAAATAAACTGCATCCTCCTTTCAGACAGTTCATAAAGACATCTGAGTTCCAAGAGTAGCTTATCAAAGCCTACTAGAAGCAAGACTATGGGAATAAGAAACAAGTGATGCAGCTGAAGCACCGTCACCCGCAGTCAGGCACGTTACCTGCACGTTCGGCCTGTTCCTTTTAGTTGCGCCTTCAAACGCCAGGTAGGACAGAGACGCCTGCTCGCTTCCACCCACATCCACCTTGAACAGGTCTCCCGTTTTGGCCGTCACTATTCCTATTACGTGATCTCCCTTCACGGGCACGTACTGCAAAGGAAGATGCAGTGCAAGACGTCACCCGCAGTCAGGCACGTTACCTGCACGTTCGGCCTGTTCCTTTTAGTTGCGCCTTCAAACGCCAGGTAGGACAGAGACGCCTGCTCGCTTCCACCCACATCCACCTTGAACAGGTCTCCCGTTTTGGCCGTCACTATTCCTATTACGTGATCTCCCTTCACGGGCACGTACTGCAAAGGAAGATGCAGTGCAAGAGAGGTCAGCGACAAGGCGCGCTCGGCGGCACGGCCGCGGCAGCGCACGGTGAGGCGCCT